CGGGGAGACGGGAAGGCCCGCTCAAGGCCCGCTCGGCTCGCTGTGTGCTGACCGGCACCTGCTCATCAGTCCCGCCCTGCACTCTGTTCCTCTCTCCTCTCCATGCCCCCAGCACAAGCACGGAGGGTGCGGGGCTAGCAGGAGGAGCCCGGAGAGGCCCGTCCTGTCCCCTGGCAGGGGCGGGGGCAGCCACATGCCTCCCCTGGTGTGTTCTTGGTCCCCGCTTGCTCCATTTCCCCCAACCTTGACCCTTGACCTGCAAGTGGATCAAAACCCCCTCCTCTTCCAGTCCCTTCGCACCTTCCTCCCGCCTTGGCTCCGGTGACACGCAGTGGAGCCAGCCCTGGGCTGGGAGCACAGCCACCCCAGAACCAGCAAGTCCCTACCTGATTCTCCATCCACAAAGTGGGAAGTCCCTGGGTGCCCCCCGGGTACTGGGAGCTTGGGAAGCCACAGCACAGCTCCCAGGCGCAGGAGGCGGCGGGCCCGGCTCCCCGCTGCTGTTCCTGTTGTGCACCGACGGGCAGGACTGGGTGGGAGCTGTTGGAAGCTGACTGGGCACCGAGCGACTCCTTTGAATAACAAAAATAACAACCAAAATAATAGCAATAAAGTGTTCGAAAATAATACTGCATATCTTACCTCCTGACTGTACTATTTAATAGTCCAGTTACACAGACCTGGAAATGGAGGATTCGGATTGGGAAAATGAGTGAATAACCTGGTTGCACATTTAGGTTGAGCTCAGACAGGAACAGACATATGCAAAGGGCTGAGGGCTTCTGGAGGGACAAGTGAGTCTCTCTGCCTCGGGTGGGGTCAGGGAAGGCTGCCTGGAGGAGGTGACCCAAAGGGCCAGCATGGTCGGGCATCAGGAGGGAAGCAAGTTACTGGTGAAGACTGTGGGGTCCCACTGGTCAGACACTTGCTTGGCCCCCAGGCAAGGCAGGTGGGTGTGGGCAGGGCTTTGGCCCCCCTCCCCCGCCTGTGCTCTGCTATGGGCTGGGCCATGCCTGCTGCCCCTCCGGACAGGCTGTTCTCTCCCTGAGCTCAGGAAGCAGGTGATGAGGGGCGGTGGGCCGCCTGGGGCGGAGTCTACCCCGTGCTGATGGCAGCATGCAGCCTGGCTGAGAATAGCACACACTTGCATGGAGGGGACAGGTGGGCGGCGGCTTGGGGGTGGCTGTGCTGACATCTCTGAACAGGTGGTGTGGAACGCTGGGCCAGGGGAGGGCGTGCCTGTCCCCTGAAGGCCCCGCCTGGCTGCGGCCCTCTCTGAGCCTCTCCACAGAGTGGCTGCCAGGGGCCAGGGGCTGCCCGTGGTGGCTCTGGGGTGGGAAGGAGCCAGTGCTTGCTGCTGCTGCGTGGTTTCCGTGGGCCCTTCTCATTTCACCCTTTCACAAAGGGGCCCAGCGTGGAGGGCCTGCCCAGCTGAGGGTGAGGAGGCTGCTGAGGGGATGTGGGCCAGGAGAGGGAGATGGGTGGCTGGTGCTGTCTCCGTGAGGAATGTCCTGTGAGCGAGTGAGCCAGTGAGCGTGGGGAGCAGGTGTGCTGGCCGCCACGCCAGCCTCAGCCCCAGCCCCAGCCATGGTGCGAGGGGAAGTGGGGCGGAGGTGGGAGGGGCTGCCAGAGGTCTCTGGCTGGCGGGGAGGAGTCTCGGGTAGATAGGTAATGGGTGGGGAGGAGGCCAGGCACTCTCCGTGCTGTGCCCTCTTCCTATACCTCCACAGCTGTCCACCCTACACCCCGACGGGAGGGCGCGGCTCTGCCACACTGCGGTCAGGGCTCCGAGCTGCACGTCCCCGCCAGGGCTGCTGCCCAGGCCCCTCCCACCAGCAGGGCCCCAGCAGGAGGTGCTCCTCCCACCCCACCCACCCAACTCTCACCCCGTTTCTGTAGAGCTGCCCAGAGCAGACACAGCTGGTCACCGCCCGAGGTGTGACCGAGGCAGGTGGGCGGGGAATGGGAGCCGCAGGAGTCTGATGGTGGGGTCCGTCCTGACCGCCCAGGGGCCCTGGCTGGTGTGTCCCCACCTCCCTTCCTGACATCTCTGGGTGCCTCAGACTCACCACGATCCGCAGGGATCCCCAGGTGTTCCTGCCTCGGATGATGGCAGCTCCTTCCTTCTCATGGCTCAGACCCTGGAGTCCCTTTCACTTCTCTCTGTCACCCCTTATCTGACACTTCTCACCATTTCCTGTTCTTGCCTTTGCTGGTCACTGCAGCCACCTCCTGAGCCTGAGCCGCTCTGTGCCGTCCTGCCCTGCAGGGCGTTCCCCACAGCAGCCCGAGCTCTTTTAAAACTGCAGGTCAGGCAGAGGCCTCAGTGTCAGTGTGAGGAATGTCCACGCCTGGGGAGGATTTTATGCGTTTCTTTGAGCCAACTGGCGGAGATGGCATATGCGGGGAGCAAGGCTCCAGTGTGCCGGAGAGACAGCGCTGCCCCTTCTTCCGTGCGCGTGAACCCGCGGGGCAGGGAGGAGAGGAAGCCTCCGCAGGTGGGAGCGGTGTGCTCTCCAGGGCCAGCCCCTCGCAGCAGGTGTGTGAGCCTAGACGGCATTAACATGGCGAGGGCTGGCTCACTGCACTGTGGGCCTGGGTGTGAGAACCCCCTGCAACCTGCCCAGTTCGGAATTTATGGGCAGATCGCCCTGGGAGGCTGCTTTCCATAAAACCTTTTGTTGACAGCCCTCTCTTCAGACACATCAGCCTTGTTCCAGGGCCTTTGCGCTCGCTGTGCCCTCTGCCTGGCCTGCCCGCCCTCCTCAGGTGTCAGATGCCAGGTTCCTGAGCTCCTTCCTAAGAGCAGCACCTGCGCCCCGTGCCTGCAGGGCTCTCGTTGGGGGACTGAGAGCACCACAGGCTGTCCCTCGGGGCACTGGCCCCTCCAGGGCAGGGACCGTGCTTTGCTGCCTGCAGATCAGAGCTAGGCAGTCAGGGAGGGCATCCAAGAGGAGCTGAGCCTCACAGCCCAGCGGGCAAGGCCCGGTGTCCAGGGTGCGGGCTCCTCACGGGAGGGGCCATTGGGGCTGAGCTGTGCGGGGTGAAGTCCGGTGGGGCCACTGAGGAGGGGCAGCGGGTGAGCAGTCCTTTCCTCCACTGGAGTGTGGCTGGGTGGGTGGACGAGTAGGAGGGAGGGCTGCTAGCCTTGGTCACGTAAGGGGGCCAGCCTTCCTCTGGGTGGTCTTGGCTCTTCCGAAGCCCTCCTGCCGCCTGTGGACTCCTGGTTCTGTGAGGCTCGGAATGGGCCCCGCCTGGTGGAGGGCCCCTGGGGGGAGGGGAGCCTGTCTCGCCTGCCAGGGCCCCCCAGCACGCCTGGCTCCAGTGCTGCCTTCCCCCCCTCCTCCGGGCAGACCCCCCTGGGAGGTGGGCTGAGAGTTCACATTCTAGCTGCTCACTCAGCCTCGAGATCAGGGCTTTGAGGCCCAGTGTCTCCTGGGGAACACACTGGTAAGGCTTTCGGGCGCCTTTGGTGTGGCTGCTGCTGTTCTGTGGCCTCCCCCGCCCCAGCCCCGTGGCCCTCGCAGGCGCCCGCCCCTGCACCAGCCTGACTTTGGCCCCTGCTGCCTCTGCTCCTTGTGCTCTGTTCCAGGCCGGCCCAGCCACCTGCCCACCCGGCTTCCACAGGCTTATCTGCTGCCCAGGTGGAATTTCAGGCCCTGGGAGGGGCTGGGTGAGGAGGGGAGGGAGTCTGGCAGCCTGGAGCGACTGGAAACTCCCCACCTGGGGCGAGGCTTCCCTTCTCCCTGGAGATGGATGTGGAGGAGGAGCCCCCCATCCCTCAGCCCCGGGAGCCGTCACCTGGGAAGGGCCTGGCTGGGAGGCCACTTCTGCACGTGGGCTTCTGACCAAGCAGTCCCATTTCAAGGCATTACTGTGGGGCTGGCCGAATGTTCTGTGTCCTGCTGAGGACGTAAAAGAGGAAACCAACATCCCTTTTCACTCTCGCCAGCATTTCATAAAGGAAAGAGAAAGTCACTGAAAGAGGAAGGAGGTAATCTGCTCCCTGTGATCAGAGCGAGGCAGTCTGAGGACGCTAAGGTGCGGTCTCCCAAGACAGACCAGTGGCTTCCTTGTCTGTCAGACTGGTGTCCGGCACAGCGACTCTCAGAACACGGACTTACAAGCAGATCGCCCGGCAGGGGGCGGGGGGGGTGGCGGGGGGAGGCCCTGGAGCTTTGTGGGGCAGGAGGAACCCGGAAATGTTTCCTAGTTTTGCATGTCATTGCTAAAGTCTTTGCTAACTTGGAGCGGGGGGGGGGGCGGGGGGAGGCCCTGGAGCTTTGTGGGGCAGGAGGAACCCGGAAATGTTTCCTAGTTTTGCATGTCATTGCTAAAGTCTTTGCTAACTTGGAATCCTGCTACAGTCTGTCTAACTGTGTTGGTTATATCCCCCAAGTGTTATCTCTACCAGTAAAATTTTTGGAACGCAGCAAGATGGACTGTGAATCTTTTGCAAAAATCCCTGGACAGGCTGCCTCTTATTCCCTGTTTGAGAATCACAAGTTGATTTTGGGCTTTGGGATCATCAGGTTTGGGCTCCTGGTTCTGCCACTCGTCGGCTGAGTGACTTCTCTGAGCCTGTTTCTTCATCTGTAGAATGGGACTAACTGTCACCATCTCAGGTTGCCCTGGTGACATGACACCACCTGTCAGGGTGTCAGGGGTTGTGCCCCCTCAGTGTGGGTCCTTGGACCTAGCTCTCTGGGGTCAGGCCTTGCTGTGTGATTTCAGTGAAGCTCCTTGGAGCTCAGAAGGAGGGGCAGGTACAGTGCCCCCGCTGGTGTCCACGGAGAGCTTGCTGGGTGGGCGGGTGTGTGGCTGGGAGATGGAATATGCTGGTTAGGGGTCCCCTCTGCAGTGAGAGCCCGGCTCACGGTGTTTGCCTGGGAGGAAGGAGGATGGCAGCCAGCCGGGGGAACAGAGGACCCAAGTGAGGGTCGGGAGTGGAGAGACCTGGGCCAGGCCTGACTCTCAGGGGCAGCCTGTGCACCGCGAATGTGCCCCAGAGCCGGATCGCCCCAAGCTGGGCCCTTCTGCCTGGGCTGTGTTGGCTCCCTTTCTCTGTTTTCTCTCCAGTCTCCTACATCATCTCGTTCTTCTCGTATGGCTTCTCCTGGCCTCTGCTCTGCTTCTTGCCTGGCTCTGTGGCCTCTTTGTGGTTCCTGCCACCTTCCTGCTGTGCCTGGAGGCAACCGAAGGGCCTTGGGCAGGAGCCCTGTTGGGGAACATGTGTGTGTGCACTGACAGGTGGCAAGCATCAGCATGTGAACATGTGAGTGCTGTGTGTGCCTGCTGTGTGGGCATGGGGACCTGTGTGTGTGCAGAGGGAAGCTGTGCATATGCAGAGGGGACCTGTATGTGTGCAGAGGGAAGCCGTGCGTGTGCAGAGGGGACCTTGTGTGGGCAGAGGGAAGCTGGGCATGTGCAGAGGGGACCTGTGTGTGTCCAGAGGGAAGCCGTGCGTGTGCAGAGGGGACCTTGTGTGGGCAGAGGGAAGCTGGGCATGTGCAGAGGGGACCTGTGTGTGTCCAGAGGGAAGCCGTGCGTGTGCAGAGGGGACCTTGTGTGGGCAGAGGGAAGCTGGGCATGTGCAGAGGGGACCTGTGTGTGTCCAGAGGGAAGCCGTGCGTGTGCAGAGGGGACCTTGTGTGGGCAGAGGGAAGCTGGGCATGTGCAGAGGGGACCTGTGTGTGTCCAGAGGGAAGCCGTGCGTGTGCAGAGGGGACCTTGTGTGGGCAGAGGGAAGCTGGGCATGTGCAGAGGGGACCTGTGTGTGTCCAGAGGGAAGCCGTGCGTGTGCAGAGGGGACCTTGTGTGGGCAGAGGGAAGCTGGGCATGTGCAGAGGGGACCTGTGTGTGTCCAGAGGGAAGCCGTGCGTGTGCAGAGGGGACCTTGTGTGGGCAGAGGGAAGCTGGGCATGTGCAGAGGGGACCTGTGTGTGTCCAGAGGGAAGCCGTGCGTGTGCAGAGGGGACCTTGTGTGGGCAGAGGGAAGCTGGGCATGTGCAGAGGGGACCTGTGTGTGTCCAGAGGGAAGCCGTGCGTGTGCAGAGGGGACCTTGTGTGGGCAGAGGGAAGCTGGGCATGTGCAGAGGGGACCTGTGTGTGTCCAGAGGGAAGCCGTGCGTGTGCAGAGGGGACCTTGTGTGGGCAGAGGGAAGCTGGGCATGTGCAGAGGGGACCTGTGTGTGTCCAGAGGGAAGCCGTGCGTGTGCAGAGGGGACCTTGTGTGGGCAGAGGGAAGCTGGGCATGTGCAGAGGGGACCTGTGTGTGTCCAGAGGGAAGCCGTGCGTGTGCAGAGGGGACCTTGTGTGGGCAGAGGGAAGCTGGGCATGTGCAGAGGGGACCTGTGTGTGTCCAGAGGGAAGCCGTGCGTGTGCAGAGGGGACCTTGTGTGGGCAGAGGGAAGCTGGGCATGTGCAGAGGGGACCTGTGTGTGTCCAGAGGGAAGCCGTGCGTGTGCAGAGGGGACCTTGTGTGGGCAGAGGGAAGCTGGGCATGTGCAGAGGGGACCTGTGTGTGTCCAGAGGGAAGCCGTGCGTGTGCAGAGGGGACCTTGTGTGGGCAGAGGGAAGCTGGGCATGTGCAGAGGGGACCTGTGTGTGTCCAGAGGGAAGCCGTGCGTGTGCAGAGGGGACCTTGTGTGGGCAGAGGGAAGCTGGGCATGTGCAGAGGGGACCTGTGTGTGTCCAGAGGGAAGCCGTGCGTGTGCAGAGGGGACCTTGTGTGGGCAGAGGGAAGCTGGGCATGTGCAGAGGGGACCTGTGTGTGTCCAGAGGGAAGCCGTGCGTGTGCAGAGGGGACCTTGTGTGGGCAGAGGGAAGCTGGGCATGTGCAGAGGGGACCTGTGTGTGTCCAGAGGGAAGCCGTGCGTGTGCAGAGGGGACCTTGTGTGGGCAGAGGGAAGCTGGGCATGTGCAGAGGGGACCTGTGTGTGTCCAGAGGGAAGCCGTGCGTGTGCAGAGGGGACCTTGTGTGGGCAGAGGGAAGCTGGGCATGTGCAGAGGGGACCTGTGTGTGTCCAGAGGGAAGCCGTGCGTGTGCAGAGGGGACCTTGTGTGTGCAGAGGGGACCTTGTGTGTTCAGAGGGAAGTGTGCATGTGCAGAGGGGACCTGTGTGTGTTCAGAGGGGAGCTGTGTGTGTTCAGAGGGGAGCTGTGCGTGTGCAGAGGGGACCTGTGTGTGTTCAGAGGGAAGCCGTGCGTGTGCAGAGGGGACCTTGTGTGTGCAGAGGGGAGCTGTGTGTGCAGAGGGAAGCTGTGTGTGCAGAGGGAAGCTGTGTGTGCAGAGGGGAGCTGTGTGTGCAGAGGGAAGCTGCATGGGGCCTAGAGTGCTGAGGAGCATTTTGGGCTCCTAGGGATGGGATGCAGTTCCTGGCTCTTGCCCAAGGCCAATCCTAATATGTAAAAAACCAGGGGCCTTCATGACTGAAACAACCAGACGGACGACCGAGCAGCAGGCTTCGTGGGGTGTCAAGGCTGGCAGGGGGGGTTA